TAATATTTCTGCAGCAGTAGAAAACAATGGTGCTTGCTGGAAGCACAATCAAATGCTTTCACATTTGCAAACTAAACTGTCATTTTTAAAACACAATTTTGAAAAACATTTCAGATTGTTTAATGAAGAGCCAGGAACTCTTTTTCAGAGGAGGTCACAAAAAAAATTGTATTATCTAAAACTTAGTATAGACCATCAAATAAATCCCAGTGTTATAATGTGGTGATTAGAATCCTTTAGAGTGATGTCTTTCTGATGTATTATTATTATTAGATAAATGTCTTTACCTCTCATAGTTGAAAGCTTTCTTATATTTTGTTTCTTCTACTTTACAGATGTCTTTAATGTTGAAGAAACAGGCAGAGAGATTAATGAAACACTTGATAAGAAGAATGATGTTAAAGCCCGTTTCATAAAAGTCCTCAAAAAAATGCATACCTCAGAGCAAGGTCAGGAAATAAACTGTATAAATTGTAACCAAATGATTCTGATTAAAGAATAAATCTATGAAAGGGATACTCTTAAGTGATTTTGAGATAGAAAGTAAATCGAATCTTACTTGGCTGATAATCATTAACACTTGAATTGACTATTTGGTTGTGCTTTGAAGGTGATTTGAAAGAACTTCAGATTTCACATGTGTGAGAGAATAGCACCGCTCTATTATTCATTAAAGCAGCTCAATTTATTTCAGCTTTCCACAGAAGCCTGAAAATAAAAGCCATTATTGCTTTAAAAATCACATCAGCTATAATTAATTGTTCCTTAAAATAGTGACATTTTTTTCAGGTTGATGGGGAAGCCAGAAAAAAACATGGGCCACTTGAATGAACAGAGAGGTTGTATTTGTGTAAGTTCCTAATCACACAGATTGTCAGAAACTTTATTTCAGTCATTGACCAATAAAAATACATTCAGTAAAGCAATGTTAATCCCTAACATCAATGACGGCTGGCAACCGTTTGTCAGCAAAATTTTACATAATATAGCAGAATTTTGCTAACTTTGGAGAGATAGATTTATCCTGATTGTCTGACAAATAATGCAAATAAAAATTATCAATGGCCGAGAAATTTAGACAAAAAAGAATAATCAACTGGGGGCAAATGACCCTGTAGAACTGACAATACAATACAGAACATGGGCTGTTGTTTGCAAGGCACCTGTCACAGAAGTTTCCAGCCAGTTTTGAAAAGCATACTACCCTAATATATACTGTATACCCATCTAGAACAGGGGTGTCAAACTGCCGGCCCGCAAGCCGGATGCATCATGTGGAAGCCACACTCACCCCATTGCCGGCAATGGCAAAACAGGGCCCAATACGTGGTGTGACATCATATGACATCACAGGTTTGACATGTCTGATCTAGAATGTTCTTGACAATTACTATTAAAGTACTCACCTAGTATTAATAGCTATTTATTACATTTAAATACCTAATTGAAAAAGTTCTACAAAATATACAATAAATAGATTTACCATCACTCGTGCCTGCTATATGCATCCAGTGACACATACTAATTCTTCCAAAAATCTATATGGTAAACCAGTTTCCTACAATTCATTGTAAATAAACTATTTATATATTTAGTAGATTAGAAGTGTTTAGTGTTTATTTAGTGAAGAAAGGCACTAATGAATGCACTTGGATTGGAAGTCACCTGGTTTTATAAAAAAAAAACCCATGATCATGATCTCCTCGTCACAGAGCTTTTTGTTTACAGATCACACAAAGCAGTTTGAGCAGTTACAAGCTATTGCTACTCAAGCTAAAGAAACAGCTGCAACCATAACCTCCACCACAGATCCAATGACTGAGAATGTGACAAAATGGTCAAAAGATCTGCGCAACTTTAAACCTGAAAGAGCAGCTTATGAACGTGCTACAGTCACAACTAGGGATACAGGTACTGCGAAGGGAAATGTAATTGAAACATTTCTTGAAATGTACGGCATCTGCTTTCTGTTTCAAGGATACTGATTTTGGATTGTGTAAAATTGAATTGCAAGAATAGTTATCAAAGGAAGAGAAGAACATGGTAATGTGGTTAAGGCAAATGTAGGTCTCATGTCAAATCATTCTCCCAATTCATCAGGAATTATTTTTCAAGAACTGTGGTCAGTAACAATCCAGGGACGGTGATTAGCTTTGCTCAAGACTGCACAGTATGGATGCTCTGGCTTGTCAGATCAGATTCAGCCTCTGAGTTAGAGGGTCCCATTCCTTATTATTATTAGAAATTCTGTCTTAGATAAAGCACCAGAGAGTACAGTCACCATGTGCCTTACTGCTCAACTACATAACTGTAACAGGAAACAAGAAACAGAACAAAAGAGCATATACCAGTGATGGTGAACCTTTTAGAGACCGAGTGCCCAAAAACCGGCCCCCCTGCCCCCGCTCCGCCTCCCACCCTGCCTGCTCCACCCCCACCCGCCCCCTGCCCCACCCACCTGCAGGGACACACACCGCCTCCATGGCCCGCAGCAGATCACCCAGGTAGCCCTGCAGTACCATGGCAGCCATGCCCTCCACCCACACACCCTGCAGCATCATCTGCATGCTATGGGGTGCGAGGGTGGAGTCATGTCCCTGCTGCTCGGCTATGTCCTTAGCTGTGCTGCTCCATGTGGGCCGCACCTGGGGGCAATTCTACTCCAGGGAGGCTGCTGGTATGGAGGGGGCCACAGGGGGAGGCGGGGCTGGGGTGACAGCATGCGTGCCCACAGAGAGGGCTCCGAGTGCCTCCTCTGGCACGCATGCCATAGGTTCGCCATCACTGGCATATACCATAGATCCAAACTTGTAAATACTGTCATCTACTGGCTGAATACTACTGTAGTTGTTGCATAGAAATACATTCCAACAATGAATTCCAACAAGTATAATGATTTGAGCTGAGATCCCCTATGTTTATCCCATATATAATAAAAATAAAAATAACTCATAAATCAGTCATTATCCCTCCTCCCTCTTTAACATTACAATAGTCCATTCAGACCCTTTTCAATCATCAAAAACATTAATCACCATTTCACTTTTTTTCCATTTTCCTACAAAATAGCCACAAAAGGTTTACAGTCCTTTATAAAAGTACTTAGTGTTTTATCTCTGACCAATCTTAGATTTCCTTAACTGCTTTAAATTTTACATTTTAAAAAAGAGATGGCATTTAATAAAATTTTGTTTCTTCAGTACTTCAAAATACAGTTGACTGAAGTTAGTTTAATTCAGCTACTCCACAAGTAACTAACATTGGAAATTGTTCTATACACACCTAATTATACTGGGAAAAGCGATAACATTTGAACTGGATTTCTAAGATATAACATGGGTTGTAGTTAAAGTAGTTACTTTAGTACGGCTGTACATAAAGTAGAAAAATCATATGTATGTATCTGGCCAGCAGATTCCTCCATTGCTGAGGAATTAGTGTATATGCATCCCTTAAACAATCCAGTGGGTGGGCTATGAATGGTTGGTTAACTTCCAGGGAAATCAAGAGCTATTTGTCTTTCACTGGGAATCTTGACATTTAAAAAGGGATGTTCTTAAAGCAAACATTTAATAGGCTAGAATTGTAAGTTATTTGAAAACAAAGGTTCCATGCACTATCATATGAACCTTTTCCCCAATTTAATTAAACAATCCACTAACTCCTATCTTTCTAAAAATGTACTATCATAAAAAATAAAGAGATTGATCCACACTGATCTTCTTTGATGCAAGCCCTCGTCTTCTCTGTGTTATTTGCTAATTAACAACTGTGCCATTGTTATTAATTATCATAATCTCTTAGCCTGTAATACCAGCTGTCTTGTTTTGTTTTGAATAACAGTGAGGAGTCTCACAGAACTTGTTCCACAGCTTCTAGATAAGCTGCGTATAGTAGAAGAGAAAAGGGCTGCAAACAATGTGTCAGCCAGCATCCAGAGGGTCCGAGAACTCATTGCACAGACCAGGAGTGTGGCTAACAAGGTAAAGATGCTGCAAGAGAAACTGGGAGGACTGGAACCAGCAAGAGGGGAAACAAGGAGCCTGGAAGCGGACAAGACAAGTGCCATCAGCTGCTCAGCAAGAGAAATAGGCTGCAAACAGTCCATTACATGAGAAGGGAGTGAGAAAGAAATGGAGGATTTAAACCTTGGGATGTGCAGATTGTGAAGTTGATCTCCTTAATTAGTAAGGCCGCTGTAATAGAATTATGTGTAGTCAAGCCAAGCCTTGAGTTTCCATAGAGGGGTTTCCAGCATAGCTAGAGTTCCTAGAGAGAGATTTATTGCAGTGTGGCCCTTCTGAAAACTGAGTCAGAGACTTTGATACAGTACTTATAGCAAGGAGCCTAATGCCTTCTCTGAATCTCTTTTAGTTTCAGCTTTGATGTTAAATCATATATTGCCAATGGGCATTAGAACAAAAGGTTAACTATGAAGTTACTATTCTAGTCTAAGTGGTAGAATAGTTGATATACTGCTGTTATAGAAGTCCTGAAGCCTAACACAAATAATATACAAATCAACCTTTCATATTTGACAATTCTTTTAAAAGATCATTTTAAATCTGCACATGGAAAATTATCATAGTTTACTTTAGTATTTAAGTATTTAAGAATATAAATATCCCACATGAGGTTCCGGACAATCACACGAGGATTTTGCTTGCTATAAATATAAATGAATATCAGCAAATAAATGGATATTTCATTCATGAAAGTGGCCTCAGTTTCATTAACATTTTTCACTAATGAATCTGCATTCTCGATATGTATACAAAACAAGGTATTATTTTATCCAGAGGACAATTGTATCAATAGAATACTGTCCTGGGCAACTCTGAATCTAACTCATTGAATGTATGTTATATTTTAACACAATTCTTAATTTATTAATCTTTACAAATAATGTTAACATTCCACCAATTAAATAGCTCATTAAAATAAAAATATCATTTCTTCCCAAAGGATGTCTTCCAAGATACATCTAACCTTTCACTTACATATTTCAACTTACAGGTTCAAGTCTCAATGACATTTGAAGGTCACTCAGCAGTTGAAGTCAATCCTCAAATGAATGTAGAAGATTTAAAGGCTTTCACATCTTTAACTTTGTACATGAAGTTTTCTGAAAAAAATCCACAGAGAAAAAAGCCTCAAGATCAGTTTGTTCTGTATTTAGGAAGCAAAAATGTATGTTAACCTGCTAGATGTATGGTGATTTCACACATATTACACTGGGGCTTTTTTATTATTATTAAAATGAAAAAAGGTGCCACTGAGTCAGAGCCAGTCCCTCAGAATTTTATTGAAAAATTTCCACCGGCCTGTTCTCAACAATAAACTGTGGCCTTTTAATCCTGTCCATCCACTTTATCTGTTTTCATCTATTTCTTCTAATTCCCTCAGTCTTGCCAAACATTCTATATACTTCTAGGTAAGTCAGTCCATGGATAAGCCAACCCTTGAATTTTTAACAAATTGCCACAAACAATATACCATCCACAGGTAAGCTGACCCTGAAAATTTTCCTTTGTTTTAATTTCCACAATTGGCTTGTCCGTGGGTAATTTGGTTAAAAATTTGAGGGTTGGCTTATCTGCAGATGGGCTTATGTATGCTTGCATATAAATCCATCCCACAGATAAGCGAAACCCAACTTTTCAGGGACCTAAAAGTTTTGGCTTATCCACAAGTTTATATGGTAGTCATTTTTTTTAGTCTATCACCTGCTTATATCTAATAGCCAAAATATGCTAGTTACTGCTTGCTCATTATCTCAAGGATCAATCTATATTGGTCTCTTTGGTTAAGTAGCCTCCAGTTCCATAATCAAAAGATACCAGTTCATATATTAACTTTGGGGGGACTCCATTCTTTTATCTTTGTTTTTATAGAAATATCTTTATGGTTTTATTTGTCATTATCTTCCTCTCTAAAATGAATATCTTTATTCTCCAGCAATATGACCATCTTCATATATTTTTTCAGTAGCATTCATAGGGGCCATGTCAAATTTTTAAAAAGGCAGTTCTGACATCTGAGCTTGGATGTTTTCCTGAAGACATTTCATTATCAAAGCAGATAATATCTACTAGAAGCAGTGGGGTTTGCTCTCTGTTTATACACAGTAACTTTCTCTATCGGTATTGGTGGATATGTGGTTTTCTCCTTGATTAGAATATTGTTTAATTGGTGTTAATTCTTGTGTTGTCTGGATGTTCATTTTTGTTCCCTTTTTAGCTTTTTTATTGTCTCTTTTTGATGCTGTATAAATGTGGTTTATGTGACAGTAACACTAGGAGCATCATCAGAGAAACAATTGAGCAGTAAAGAATAACTTAATCAAGGAACTATCAATTCAGATTTAAAAAAATCAAACAGTAATCAACAGCCTAATGAAGGAGCTATCAAGAAGAAAACCATACCCCCACCAACACTAACAGGGCAAGCTCTAACAGGGCAAACCTCACTCTTTCTAGCAGTGAAGAGGTTATCTAATGAAATGTCTGCAGAAAATGAAACCAAACTCAAAGAGCACCAAGGACTCCACTTTGAAGCCTTAGAATCTGTGAGCTTCAGAACATTATTTATGTGACTCTCTCAGGTTCCCTTTAATAACATCTCTTGGAAATGTATGAAAATGGTAGTAGAAACTGTCAGGTAGATTTTAATATAGATTAGAAGTAAAAGAAAAGGGGCGTTGTCTTACCTGAACGCCTTTTCTCAGCAGGATGATGTAGAGTCCAAATGGATGGGTTCTATGACGGCCTTCCTGCCTGGCAGACTGGGTAAAACTTCGGCCACACCCCTTCCTTTGGGCGTGACCCCAGTTTTGACTTAGGCGAGAAACTTTGTTGGAATTAACCTTGCAGCTCTTTATTATATCTTTATTATAACCCTGCCTAGACCTATCCTCTGGGTGGGCTTGGACTCTACATCATCCTGCTGATAAAAGGCGTTCAGGTAAGACAACGCCCCTTCTCCAGCAGGATGGCTGTAGAGTCCAAATGGATGGGACATACCAAAGCCCTCATGTCCCCCTGGGAGGGAATGTCTAGGCTACCGAACTCTGAGCAGATACGACTTGTTGAAGAACTCTTCTGCCAAAAGCCGCGTCTGCTGCTGCTAGGGAGTCTAAACGGTAATGTCGAATAAACACCGAAGGTGAGGACCAGGTTGCGGCCCTGCAAATCTCTTCCACCGGAGCTTGCGTTAGCCACGCCGCAGATGTAGCTGCGCTCCGAGTTGAGTGAGCAGTCACCTGAGTGGGTGCTGGCAAATCCTGTGAGACGTAGGCCTGCGCTATGCAGGCTCTGATCCACCTGCCTATGGTGGAAGGAGATACCTTCTTTCCCATAGTTGCTGGTTGAAAGGACACAAATAATGCTTCAGTCTTTCGGAAAGCCGAGGTGCGTTTCACGTAGAAACACAGCGCTCTCTGCACGTCCAGCTTGTGCCATCTGTGTTCTAGTCTATGTTTGGGTCTTGGACAGAAATCAGGAAGCGAAAGTTCCTGAGATCTGTGAAAGATGCTATTTACCTTCGGAATGAAGGTCGGGTCTGGTCTAAGAACGACCCTGTCTTTGAAAAAGGTACACCGATCCTTCCTTACTGACAGTGCTGCTAGTTCTGAGATTCTTCTTGCTGAAGTAATTGCCACAAGGAAAGCTACCTTCAGTGATAGGTGATGGAGTGAGCATGTTTCAAGAGGTTCGAAGGGTGCTGATGTCAAGGCTAGAAGGACCTTAGGCAGGTTCCAGGACGGGTACCTGTGTATGACTGGGGGCTTTGTGTTAGATGCCCCTTTTAAAAAGGCATTAATAGCTGGATGCTGTGCTAGGGAAGTTAAGTTGTCGCAGGAGAGTACAGTTGAGAGGGCCGATATCTGTCCGCGGATAGTATTGACTGACAGGCCCTTATTAAGACCCTCCAGTAGGTAATCTAGGATATTGGGAATAGATACTGCGGTCGGGTCTAGGTGAAGCGAAGCGCACCACCTACAAAATCCCTTCCACGTAGCGTCATAACTCCTATTAGTGGACGCTCTTCGTGATGCCTGTATGATCGATATCACCCCTGCAGAATAAGATTGTTTAGTTAAGCTTTGCCGCTCAAATGCCAAGCGGCTAGTTGTAGCCACTGGGGATCTGGGTGTACAATCTTGCCCTGACTGAGTTTTACCCTGTCCGGGGGAATCCTCCACGGAGGTGATATCGAAAGGTCCACGAGGTCGGCAAACCACGGGCGCCGTGGCCAGTGAGGGGCAATGCATACCATTTCTGCGCCCTCCAGGATCATCTTGCGTATGGTTGCCGGTATTAGTGGCAGCGGTGGGAAGGCGTACAGGAGTTGCGCCGGCCACCGGCACCTGAGAGCATCCGTTCCCTCCGATCCCGGGGACGGGAATCTGGAGAAGAACCTGGGGAGCTGTGTGTTCTTGTGGTTGGCAAATAGATCTAGGTGCGGGTGTCCGAACCTCCGGGAGATCTCCTCGAAGAGAGCCGGGTCCAGACGCCATTCCGACTGGTCCACCTTGGCTCTGCTCAGGGAGTCTGCCTGTGTGTTTGTCTCCCCTGAGATGTGTTCCGCTCTGATGGAACTCACATTGGCTTCTGCCCACCGAGCCAGAGCCAATGCTTCCTTCCTTAGTTCCACTGATTTCGTTCCTCCCTCCTTGTTTACATGCGCCTTGGCTGCTACATTGTCTGTAAGCACGAGGACGTGCCTCCTCGTTACTAGGTGTGAGAAATGACGGAGGGCCAGGTGTATGGCCCGGAGCTCTAGCCAGTTGATGCTGTGTGACAGGTCCTTCTGACCCCACTGGCCCTGTGCTATCTGGGTCCCCAGATGGGCTCCCCATCCGAACAGGCTCGCATCTGTCGTGAGCGTGACCCTGTTCGGTTCCCTGAATATGCTCCCCTTGAGTGTCATGGGGGATAGCCACCATTTTAGTGATTTCATCACCTGGGCTGGTACCGGCACTCTCCTGCTGGAGGTGCTGAGGTTCCTCCTCTGGTAGGGTAGGAGGAACCACTGCAACTCCCTCGAGTGGAGCCTTGCCCATGGGATGATGCCCATGCAAGATATCATCTTCCCCAGGAGCTTCGAGAGTTGTAGCAAGGGCACTCTCCTGATCTTTTGAATTTGGTGGATTAGCTTGGATATGCTGATCAGTCGCTCCTGGGAAAGGAATACCCTGCACTGTGACGTGTCTATCACCGCGCCCAGGTGTTGCAGTCTCCTTGAGGGAATGAGGTGGCTCTTGTTTAGATGGACCGAGAATCCGTGCCCCTGTAGGGTTCGGATCGTGGTCTTGAGATCTGCCCTTGCTTGTTCCTGAGATCTGGACTGAATCAAGATGTCGTCCAGATAAAACTGTACGCGAACCGGCATCAGCCTGAGATTGGCTGCTATTACAGCTAGGATTTTGGTAAATACCCTTGGTGCTGAAGATAGTCCGAAGGGTAAGGCCCTGTATTGGTAATGCCGGCCCGCGTAGGTAAATCTGAGGAATTTCCGGTAGCTGGGATGGATGGGAATGTGTAGGTACGCCTCTGTGAGATCTATTGAGGATAATAGATCGTCTTCCCTGACGCTGGCTAGGATGGACTTCAATGAGTGCATCTTGAACTTCCTGTACTTTATGAAATGATTCAGGCCCTTCAGGTCCAATATTGCTCTCCACCCTCCTGATGTCTTTGGAATAACGAAGAGGATGGAATAAAATCCTCTTCCCTCCTCTTCCTTTGGTACCCTCTCTATGGCTTGAATTGACAGGAGGTGAGCTATGGCCGACGTTATCAGCCTCGTCTTGTGTACCTTTCTGGAGATGGGGCATCTGATGAACCGGCTTGGTGGGGGAGAACAAAAGTCTAAGGTCAGGCCATGCCTGATCGTTTCCAAGACCCAGGCGTCGGTGGTGGTCTGCTCCCAGACCTCGATGAAATTTCCTAACCGACCCCCGATGGGAGTGTCCTGTTTGGCGTCACTTGGTACGCTTAAAGGATCTGCCTCCCGCTCCCCTATATGGGCGTCTGGACTGGAACTGGCCTCTGGCTCCCGGGCTTGGGCGATCCTGGGTTCGATCCTGTCTCGGATAGAAGGATCGTGAGCCTCTGGGCCAGT